TAGGAGGTGTTTCAGTTACATGGTGGGTGCATTCTGGTTCAACTTTTTTGATGGAGCTCGACATCAAACATACATATACAAACTTCTGTGAATAAATATTAAGAAAATATCAGGTAATTGTCTTCTTAAAAAATGGAATGCTCTTTTTGTTATTTCTAGTAGAACTCCAGCCAATATTTCAGTATTTTCTATTCCTTATAGAAAGGCTTATAATAAATAAATTACGGAATAAATATTTTTTCCCAAGAAGACTAGTACATGGATCATTGTGGAAGTGAATATGCGCTTTGTTTCTATTCTAATGTGCATAATATCGATATTGTATGGGTTATGAGGGGTGCGTTTTGGTGGAAAGTGTTTAAAATATATGCCTCATTGCACACAGGATTATTCTGAAATATTTTAACTTGGATGAATAGATCCTGTAAATTCTCTCGATTTCAGTGATATGCAATTCATATCTGTGCATTATGCCTATTCAAAGTTACAAGCCTGAGATTAATGGGTGTGAAAATCAATGCATTTTGTGTTTGTCAGGTTCTAAGGGATAAGGGATCTTATTACCACTATACAAAAATATTATATGGATAAAAATCTACACCTGATGCACTAATCAAGTTGCCCTGAATATGTAGAAGTAGCAGTGGGTGGCAGAAGAGGGCCTAAAGAAAGTCTGCAGCAGCCATTTTTTTTAACACAGCCAACTTATTTAAACTTATTTCATGGATTTCTTTTGCAAACTTCCCAGCAATATTGTGCAGCTCAGTGGTTCTCAGGCTGTGTGGCGTAACATGAAATGTATCGTGGGAGAATTTAATTAAAGTTGGGCTTGTAATAAAGATTTTTTTGGAGAGGTGAGAGGTGGGAGTGTGTAGGGCTTAGGTATTATGGGTACCATGGTAATATTTTCATTATACAGATTTATCATGGGGATACCCCCCCCCCCCCACATACATGAAAGAGGCATCGGAGAGGTATGAGGAATGTGTAGGGTAGACTTGGGAAGTATTACAGTAACATTTTCAGTTTACTGTGAGATTTTCATTCAGTATGGACTGCATGATGTCAATAAAAATTAGATTAGTGCTCAACCCTTCTGTTTGGGGGCTAGAAATAGATGCTGGGGTGTGTGGAAGGGATTAGTAATTAGATGGGGGTAGGGGTAATGAGACTGTCCAGGGAATTAATTTTTTTCTGTATTAGATTAGATTAGATTCGATTCAATTTTAATGCAATTTCCCCAAAAATCAAGTACTCAGACAATGAAATGCAGTTTGGAATTTAATCCTAAAGTACAAAACGTGCTAGAAATATCTGTATAATATATGTGAGAATTTCCTCAGTAGAAAATATGCAACTATACATGGTTATACATGATGTGGTATAAATGGGTATACAGTATATAGCAATAAACAGAATATAAATTTGTGCTGTCAAGGTTAATGCATTAACGCTTGTGATTAATCCGGAAACCTTAATGCATTATTTTGTTTTTAACGCAAATTAATCCTCTGGAGTCCACGATCCTGCCTGCGGGATAAAACAGAAATCTTGCCAATCTATCTAAAAAAACTCTGCAAGTTTTGTCTTAAATAAAAAAAAACACCCCAAAAACCTTGAACAGTCCACTTAAATAAAAAAAAACTATGCAAAATGCTAGTAACTAAGTTGTTCTTTTAGCAGTTTTCACTACCTTTATGGGACTTTTTTGCAAGTTAAGACTATTTTTGCAGCCATCACGCTTGTATAATTCATATAAATGATTCAGCTTGTGTTTTCTGTTTGTTCAACAATGTATTCAAAGATAAAATTAAAAAATAAAAGCAGAGCAGGAATATGTTTCCCAAAAGCATGGTTATTCATTACGTTAGCGATTCACAATTGGATCCATGCCACTGAATCGTTTAAACTATCAAAACCAAGATACTATATTAAAAAACATATGATTCCTCTTACCAGTTTGTCATGTATTTCTTTGTTCCAATAGCATACATGTATTTGTTTCATTTTCCAAGAAATACAAACAAATAGCATACTACCATTTTAAATTTGTGATAATCATGACTAATCACAGTTTATTATTGTGATTAACTGGATTAACTTTTTAAATCAACACCAAAAATATGAATATTTTTATACATAAAGGATACAAATATAAACTAATATAAATTTAAATAATATATATGTAAAACATGGATATTAAGACATACACAACAAAATACAGTTAGTCATCTAAATGGTGGGGGAAGATTGAGGAAATTGCCATGTAAGTGGAATATGCAATAAATGAACAGGTGTAACCTTAAAGTTATGTGTCATGACTAAGACTTAGAGTATTTGTTTTTACATTTCCAGATGATCCACCCAGTAATTCTAGAAACTGTAGAAGTTGGAGGCGTGGGAGGAGTAGGGATAAGATGGAGGGTTGGGGTGACAGGGCCATCAGAGGCATACATTGTCATTGCAACAGTTTTTTTATTTTACATATATATATATATACACACTCACCTAAAGGATTATTAGGAACACCATACTAATACGGTGTTTGACCCCCTTTCGCCTTCAGAACTGCCTTAATTCTACGGG